AAATAAAATAAAATAATTAAAATAATACGTGGGAGGAGGAAGGCGGGGAGGAGTCATCCCTGGAGAAAAACTCATTCATGCTCTCGAGGTTATAGCCGGAGAAGGAGGTTGCAGGCACGGCGTGATGTTTGAGCTGGAGTCTTCAGTGCCGCTGCTGCCGAACAGCGGAGCCGGCGAGTCAAACAAAAAAAAAAAAAAAAAACCAAAAAACCCCAAACTCCATTTTCCCCCCTCTTTCCTCCAGTTTAAGGCCACGGTGAAGACTCAGCCTCCGCTGACCCCTTCTCCCACTCCCCGTGCCCAGGGCCGTGGGTGCTGCGGAAGGAGCAGGGGAGCGCCCAGGGCCGTCATCCGCAGGATCCTCATGGAAGCGGAGGGGGGGGGACGGGGACATCTGTTTTAAGAGGTGGGTGGCAAAGAGAAAGATGTTTCCCCTCCTCTCTTAACTCCCCCTGCTCCCAGGTTTTCCTTCATTACCCCGACTCTTAGGAAGCCAGGCAGTTAAGAGGTCCAAATGCAGCATCGTGTAAGTGTAATAAACCAAAAGTAGAGTTTCTGCTCTTAAAATTAAAGAGACAAACTACGTGCAAGTTAACACCCCCTCCCCTCCTCTCCCCAAACCAGCAGATAATCAAATTCTTCATAGCAAAGAGAGAGTAAAATTGAAAACCTGCTTCCTCTCGCCCTTCCTGCTACAGACAGGGCAAGGGGAGGAAGAGAGACAAACACTCGGGTATGTCCTGGATAGAGAAATATATTTGCTTGAACGTCTCCCCTATCTCCCCGCACCCTAAAACAAGACAGGGAAAACTAATCGTCATAAATGTAGGCCAGCCGAAGCTTAAAAAAAAAAAAAAAAAAAAACCAAAACAAAACCAAAAAAAACCCCAAACCAACCCACCCCAGACCTCTTCTCGTCTGGAGTCGGCATCACAGAGCTAACGTGGTACCCCCGAAAAGTGCATCTTTAGAAAAACAAACAAACAAACAAAAACAAAACGGAAGGTTGGGGTGACGACGGCAGAGGAAGCGAAGGGGAGGCAGCCCGGGGAAGGGCTAATTTCCTCGGAAAGCGCTCTGTGCGGCTGAGGAGGCCGCCCCGGCGGCCGCGTTCTGGAAGCCCCTGTTGGTGAGGATGCCTTGGGAAAACTCTTCCTGGGCCCTTTGGAAACTGGCTCCCGTGCGCCGATACAGGGAATGCACCTGGGAAACAGAAAGAGAGAGGGGGCGGGGGGAAAAAAAAATAAAAATTAAAACAAATCAGGAGGCAAATGTGGGTTTGTGGCGCACACCTCGCTTTTCCTCAGCCTGGTTGTGAACCAGCTCTCTTGGCAGGTAGAGAGGATGGGCTGGAGCCACTGGCTCCATCTCTCCCGGCACGTGATGCTGCAGATTTCAGGAGACCCTCATTTGTTGCAAAATGTGGAGTTCTCGGCAAAAGGGCGGGTATCGGACCAAAAATACTGTGATGGTATGGACACTTCAGCCCTGCATTCACAGACACGTGCAGGGCAGGAGCCGAAGGTACCTGCGACTACGAGCACCAGGTATTTCCTTCAAGATACGATTTAGGAGAAACGGAGGAGGAAGCAACGGAAACAGGACCAGTTCAGTCTGTCCTCGCCTTCCCCCAAAGCTACATCGCTGCTGTTAATTGCAGGAACGCAATCCTCGTTTGGATCCCATCAGGCTTCGAGAAGTCCCACAGCGGTGGGGTAGCAGCGATTGGAAAACCCCGCACGCTCCAACAAAACAACCGCCTTCTCTGCTTGGCCAACTCTGGACAGACTCAAGCTAAAAGGAAGGCGCAAGAAGTTGGATGTCCACGTTTTGACGAGGGTGACGTTTGGGACCTCGCTGGCCATCTTCTCCGGCCAGCGGCCAACGCAGCAAGCTTCTCCACACCCTCCTTTATCCCAAAATGTGTTTGAGGCCCTTGACGTGCACGGTGGGTGCCCTCCCGAAGCATCTGTGCCTCTTTGTGCCCTCCCCTATGGCAAGTTCCCACTTTTGCAAGCGTTCCAGCATCTTGGCATCGATGCAGGAAGCACAAGCGAAACCACTTTCGTTAAAACTCTTGACCTGACAGTGCCCCAATGACATCTTCAAAAGCGAAGCTAATCCCCACAAACAGAGGAGAGGAGGCGGCAACCCCCGAGGACACCCTGCGAGCAGCCTGACCTGCGGATCCGCAATTCCCCCGCGACCTCGCCTTGCCTCCCAGCCACTCACCTGCTTCAGGAGGAAGAGGGAGAGAACCGCGCAGAGCGTGAAGAATCCTGCCACCACCATCATGATAACAGCCACGGCCAGGTTCCCGTGCAGCTCAGACAGCGCCGCGATCCACCCGCTGCGGGAGAGAGGAGAGCGGGGTGAACACGGCGAGCGTCCCACTGAGGGCGAGGTGGGAGAAGAGGCACCGACGGTTGCACAAAGAGCTTTTGGGGGAAGGTTAGGGGGAAGAGCAAACCCAAACGTAATGGCGGCGGAAATAGGGATGCAGAGCTCAGCCAGGCACTCATTTTTGGGGCCACGATTTCCACTCTCACTTTTAGAAGCGCTACAGAAGATGATCGTGGTCAGCCCACCCGCGTTACAGCCCCGGCCCCTGGACCACCCCCCTTAAGCGTCATCATAAATGGAGTCACTTCTACGAACACCTTCTCGAAACTCCGCCAAGCAGCGTAAAGACAGGCTGGGACATCTACATTGGAAGAGGTCAGCCGGCAGATCTGAAGCCTAGACCTCCATGTCACCGTGACGGCTCTGCGTGGCCAGGGATGTAAGGGTTGGGAGGGGGAGGAAGAGGAAGGAAGGGATGAAGTTCGAGCTACAGCAAGGAGGGAAGTGGCAGTTGTTGAAGGGAAGGGGCAGGAAGGAGTTATCAGCGCTTGGCTGTGGGTGAAAACACCAAGATGCCTCACTCAAAACACCCTCCTGGGTGCCGGAGGAAGGAATCTTTCCAACTGCTAAACCAAGCAAGCCGCGTGCCACCGGGAGAGAGGGACTCAAGCGAGCCAAACCGTCCCATTTGACGTGCCGCACAACTTCTTGCTGGCTACGAGGAAGCGGAAAGGCACGCCATGCACCACAGCCAAAAATAACCGCGGCTGTCTGGCTCGAGGAAAGGCAGCCGAAAGCTCAACGCGCGCTCTCCAAAGGCAGCCTAAAAACGGAGTGCCCCCTCCCTGTCCCCCATGACTAAGGCAGCGCCAGCTCGCAGGGGAGGGAGCACGAGGACAGCTTTGCCCGTGAGCCGTTCCGCAGGCAGCGGGCAAAAATAGACAGCAGTTTCACGGCGCTCATCACCTGAAGGCTCCCCCTCAGGAGAAAAAACCGCTAGCTCTTAACCTTTTCACTGTTCGCAGTAATTCGGGAATCTGATCGGCGGCCAACGCAGCAAGGCGAAAAAGAAAGCCGGTGCTTTCGCTGCAGGCGGGGGGGGGGCAACTGCTGACAAAGAGGCCTGTTGGACCCGCTCCCAGAAGCCCAGATTCACCCTTCTGAAGATAAAGGGTAAGGATAAAACCCTCTCTGCTTATTTTTCCTGAAGCGCAGCCCAGCAGCAACACGCTCGCACGAAATTCAGGAAGAGTTCGGGGGACGGAATCGGGCTGTTAGGAGCAGCACTGAGTTAAGCAGTACCCAGGCTCCGGGATCAAAGATTCCCTCCCCCCCACGCTACAGCCTCCATCAGGGAGGACTCAATTTTAAGGCAGACGCAGTCAACGGTAGAGGCTCAGCATCAGGAAGGGGTAAGTATGGTATGTATTAAGTGAGGGGGGAGCGAGCAGAGGAGGCCGTGGGAGATTTCACAGGCTCCTTTCAGCGCCGGCTCGCAGCAGAAGCGGTACACGCCTTTGGTGGGACGAGGGTGGGAAGAGAGGAGGAGAGAGGCAGCCCAGCTGGGACCTGCCAAAGCTGTGCAGCAGGTTGAGAGAGGAAAACCGCGGGAGAAAGAACAGAGAGCTGTCAGATACCGACCCTAAAGCTTCTGACAGTCACAACCCTGGCGAGAAAAAGCATCCGTGTAGGGCTGCAACCTGCCAGC